TTTTTTTTTTTTTTTCTTTTTTTTTCCCATTGAATCAGACACAATCACGACTCTAACCTCATCGCACAGACCTACAACAGCTGCATCGAGCCACACTTTTGCCTTCATACCATCTCGCCGCTCTACAACAGAGTCCAGCAAGAAGTTTCCGCATTTGCGTCATCACATGCATGCCATGCATAGCTCTACAACCAAGTCGCCTCGCCTGGAGCTGCGTCGACTCGCGCGCACATCCGAACTCAGCCTCACCCTTGCTCTCGGTTACGCTCGCTCTCACTCATGCTCGTGATGTACCTCTTGCAAACGGTCGGCGATCAGTTGCCAACGGTGGTGGCCGCTAAATTGAAGTAGTATCTCGAGTACAATACACATGAGCTCAATCGAGGGGAGCACGAATGGCTGACGCTGGTGCTCAAACTATATAGTCGTGGGGGTGCAACAATCCGACAGCAAAGAAGGCGGAAGACTCGACGCAACGCAGTCGCCGCTCCGGTGAGTATTCTGGAATAGCGTGATAAAATTCTTGAAACTTAGCATCTTGTGCCTTCCATGCAGGCCTGGAACTCCGATAGGCGAGTCACTGCTTGCGAAAGCGGCCAAACCGGAGCGTCCTAGGACGCATACTGCGATATGGGCACCAAGACTTTCGCTGCGTCGATCGATTGACGGCCGAGCGCTAGACCCGTCTGCGTGACTGGTAGCATCTCGGTCGCGAGCGTCGCAAGCTCTTCTAATCAAGCGCATGTCGGTCTTGGCGATGCGAAGCGGCCTGTAAATCTTGAGCTCGAGCGGATCGTTCACCGTCCCGCGCAAACGACGCCTGCTCGGCAACCGCAACCCTTTTCGCAACGTATTTGCAGCGCAAGCTAGAAGCCTCATGCAGAGCCACTCGGCGTGTGAGTGTACTGGGCACGGCAGACCGTCAACTTTGTGCACAGAGGCTGCTCTTGAGAAGGAAAGCGATCGAAAAAATTCATAAACATCAGAGGGACGACTCCCTCCACTCACTGTCGCTACCGACGCCGTCGTCCTGAGAGCGCCGCGCGGTGTGCAGGGCTTTTGCTGCCCATCCGGTCTTACACCGCAAAAGTCTCGGCTCAGTGGCATTAAACTCTAAGCATTTACTATATGTATGGTGAGGGGGCACCATTGAACGGCAAAACCAGAGTCAGGCTACTTGGCGCAATGGTAGCGCATCGTGTTTCTACTTTATGCCGCGAGGGTTGCGGGTTCGAGTCCCGTGGTGGCCTTTTTTTGCACTTCACCTACAACACGATCGTCCGCTTGGATGAGTACGTGGCGCGCCGTGGACTTCAAGTCCCATGTCCGCCACCATCACCTCCGTCTCCCAACACGCGGGCCAAGACCTCAAGTCCCGTGTCCGCATTGGAGACGCACAACGCCGTGCAATGCTCAGCCTCTCTGTCCACACTCTGCTGCTGCTGAAAACCTGTTCTCTTTTGCCTGGCCCTTGCTCAACAACTTCAAGATTTGGAAGCTCTGCACGTGCAAGCCTGGAGACCTGAGAACGCCTCGTGTAGTACCTTGTGTGAACACTCCCTTTGGCAGGCCTGTGCTGCTGAACCGCACCATGCGTGCATTTGCTGCCCCTCTTCATGTCGTATACAATACAGCGTCTGTACTACACTACGAGGTGGCAATGAACCATAGTAAAAAAAAAACGTCTCCCAACACGCACGCCAAGACCTCAAGTCCCGTGTCCGCATTGGAGACGCACGACGCCGTGCAATGCTCGGCCTCTCTGTCCACACTCTGCTGCTGCTGCTGAAAACCTGTTCTCTTTTGCCTGGCCCTTTGTTAGACACAACACCAACCATACCTTGATCCCGTACACGTGACCACGCGCCGCACGCACCGCGCACCCCGTCACGTGCTGCGACTCCCAAGCATCCCGCAGGATCCCAAGCGCCCCGCGCGTCCCATATGTCCCGGAACGCCCCTAGAGTCCCGGATCGCCCCTGTACGTCCTCACCTTCCTACCTTGGTCTCAATTACTATTCATTCACTCAGGAAGCTGATCTAGAACTGCTCTGAACCCACTACTGTGAGTACAGAGCCTTCGGGCAGCCTGCGGGCAGGATGCTGGTGCTGGGCCACCAACCACAGGGGTCAATATAGTCATCATAGGCGTAGCAAGTCCAAATCCCGATCGTACCGACTCACGCCAATACCAATCTAACAACCAGCAGGACCGGCGTTCGAAACAGGACACCTGTTCTACTGGGGCGACTTCTGCTCCCACCTTTGCACGACGCTCGCTGGCCGCAACATGCAGGTGGCG